GATGTCGATTTGTGGTGATGGCTAACCAAAACCTATATAATTTTGTAAACTGTTGTTACTTAAATTAAGAAATTTCAATTATCGGGGCCTCCTTGGTGGTGCAAGGGGTTAAGACACAGCCTATGAAGCTCTCTGCAGCATGAGTTCGATCCCCAGCCAAGGAGGAAACTGACATGGCACAGCAGACCTCTCCTGACTTGCCCGCTGCTCCCCTCAGCAGTGTTTTTCAGTCAGTCTACCTGTTCTGTTCCCCACTCTGTCTCTGGTGAATCCTCTCACCCCCCCCACACCTCTGGCCTGTATCCCACTTCTTGTATGTATAAATAAATAAATCTTTTTTTAAAAAAGAAATTTTAATTATCAACCTTATATACTACATCTTTTTGATCCACTCATCAGTTTTGGGTTATTTAGGTTGTTTGCATTAGCTGACTGTTGTAAGTAGTATTGCAGTAAACACTGGTGTGCAGGCTTCTTTTCATATGTGTGCAGGCCCAAGAGCTGGGGTGCAGGCCAGAGATGCAGGGGGTAAGAAGATTCATCAGAGACAGAGTGGGGAGCAGAATATGGATATTTACTGAAATACACTGCCGAGGGGACAGTAGGTGATACAGGAGAGGTCTGCTTCACCATGTGGGTCACCTCCCTGGCCAGGGATTGAACTTATACTGCAGTGGCTGTGGATAGCTTCATAGTGCTGCAACTTAACTCCTTGTGCCACCAGGGAGGCCCCTGTTTCTGTTTTTGTTTGTTTTAATATGGGCCACTCTCACTGATGTGAGGTGATATCTCATTTAGATTTGCATTTCCCTGTGGATAAGTGATGCACGTTTTTTTCATGTGCCTATGACCATTTATGTCTTCTTTGGAAAAATATTTAGCTCCTTTGCCCATTTTTTATTTCTTTTGTTTTCTTTTTTTTTTTTTTTTTTTTTTTTGAGTCTTATGAGCTCTTTGTAGATCCTCAGTATCAGTCCGCTACCGGATGTGTGTTGTGCAAATACTCACCCCCAATTCAGTAGGCATCTCTTTCTTTTGAATATTGTCTCTTTGGTTATACATAAGCTTTTTAATTTGATGTTGCCCAAATTGTTTGTATCCTCCTTTGTTTTCCTTGCAGCTGGGAATGAATTCACAAAGATATTTCTTAAGTGTATGTAATTGAGCGTTTGCCTTTGCTTTCTTCTAATGTATTTTATAGTTTCATGTCATATTCAAATATTTTATCCATTTTGAGTTGATTTTTGTGTAAGCTATGAGATAGTGGTCTAGTTTCATTCTTTTTGCTTGTAGCAGTTCAATTTTCCCATCACCATTTTGTTGCAGAGGCTTTCCTTCTTCCAGTGTACAGCCTCCGCGCCTTTTTCATAGACTAGTTGTCCATGTATGTGTGGTTTTATTTATGCACTCTCAGTTCCACTCCATTGGTTTGTGTGTCTGTTTCTGTTCCAGTACTATGCTGTTCTAATTATTATGGTATTACAGCATTATTTGAAATCCAAAAGTATAATATCATTTTCTTCCTTTTTTAGTCAGGAGTGCTTTGGCTATTTGTGGTTCTGTATGAATTCAGTAGTACTTGTTCAATTTCTTTGAAAAATCACATTGAGATTGTTATTGCGATTGCACTGAATCTATTAATTGCTTTGAGTAGGATGACCTTATTTAAAAAAAAATTATGCATACAAGAACTGGGGTAATGGCCATAGGTGTGGGGGGGTGGTGAGAGGATTCACCAGAGACAGAATGGGGAACAGAACAGGCAAATTTACTGAAATACACTGCTGAGGGGAGCAGCGGGTGAGACAGGAGGGTTCTGCTGCACCATGTGGGTAGCTCCCTGGCCAGCCGGGGGACAAACTCATGCTGCAGTGGTTGCAGATAGCTTCATAGGTTGCATCTTAACCCCTTGCACCACCAGAGAGGCCCTGAATAGGATGGCCTTTTTGACAATGTTGATTCTTCCAATACATGAGCAAGGAATGTATTTACATTTGTTTGTATCTTCTATTTCTTTTAACAGTGTATTATAGTTTTCCTTGTATAGACCCTTCACTTGATTTCCATGGTATTTAATTTTTTTTTTTTTTAGTGAGACTATAAATGGAATGGATTTCTTTAACTTCTAGCTTATTGTTTGCATATAGGAAGGCAACTCCAACCTGTTTTTATTATTAAAACTTGTGGCCTCTTTTTTTCTTTCAAAAACTCTTGAATCATTCTCCCCAGGAATTATAAATCCCAATCCTATGACTAACATACTTTCCTTTGGAATGCTTTGCTTTTCACACCACAAAATTGATATTTCTAAATTTGATAGTCTTGTCCTAATTACACAGGAAGCTCATTGTACCAATTGTAGGTAATCTGGATTCTAATCATGTTTCCTCCCATTACCCTGTCAAAATGTAGATTTTTATAATGTCAAGTCCTTCCATCCAAAGACTAGAGAAATTTTAGTGAATTCACTGTCTTTACTGCAGTCTCACTGGTCTTTATCTAGGGTCTAAAGACATATTCTCTTCTACTTGACTTTGGGTTGACATTGATGAATTTCCATGCAGTCGCTAGGGTAGGGTGGGTGGCTTTCTTTGTGTGTCCATTTTGTATCAGCTACAGTGGGAAATATTATGGTGCTGATACAGGTAAAGGCAAATATTAGTGGTAACAACCATATATTCCACGATAAATTCTTTTGTGGCTTGAGTAGGACATTTGCTCCTGCTCATTGTAGTGCTCTTTTAGCTTCTGAAGCTGACAGGGCAGTCTCTGAGGAAGAATTGCCCACCACAGCAGTAGATGGAAAGGAAAATGTATTGAAGCAAGATTAGCTCTTAACGTTCCTGCTAGAAGTCACACACTCATTGTTCAGTTGCCAAAGCAAGTGGAAAGGCAAAACTTGACTTCTAAGGGGTAAGCTTAAGTTCTTAAGGAAGGGAAATAGGACAGCAGTGAACTACATTCAAAATTAACTGATACAGAATCTCAAGCCTCTTATTTCCCCTAAAGGATAAAGAGCCCGTTTGCAACTTAAACTAGTATTCTGAGCTGATAAATCCAGAAGTGGATATAAATGTATCTTTTTGACTTTATTAGTGAACATGTGTATATAGTCCTTAACAAAAAGTTTATTTAATATTCTATTTTACTGTGGAAAATGGAAAGGATATCTATACACTGAAATGTCATTTAACACTTTTGAGGGTATTTAATAGAACTTGGATGCTTATGACTTATAGATTTGATTTTCAGATATTTTTTCTCTTTTACTCTACCATTCCTGCATCCTGAAATTCCTGAAATGTTTTCTCATGTTCTCATTAGTCTGCTTTTTTCCTCTCTCTCTCTCTCTCTCTCTCTCTCTCTCTCTCTCTCTCTCTCTCTCTCTCTCTCTCATACACACACACACACACACACACACTCACTCACACACTTTCCATCAGAATAAAGTAAGATACTTATTCAAAATTCAGATTCCTGGGCTATACCTCAAATTAACTGTGGGTGACACTAAAAAATCCATGTTTTTACCATATTTCCCACATACATTTTACAGCTTTGATGTTTGAAAAACACTCACATGACCTGAGTCTGTCCTTTAATTTTCATAAAATCTATGGCCACACTGAGGTTTTTAGGGATGCCAGTTGTGATTCTGTTTTTGCATGAAGTTGAGACTTAATCTATTGACTAGTAAGTGTGTGGATAGATTGTTCCTTAGTTCTACTGATTTATCTTTAGTAAAAACATAGCCAGCAAAGGTAATTATTACAGTTTTATCAGTATATTTACCATTTGAGTTGGAAAAGATAAGTATGGAACACGGAAGGAAACTTTAAAGAACATTTGTATGGTGGCTGTCCTATTTTATGTGTATGAAACATTTAGGACTATAACTGAGAACTTGAGTATAGGTCTGCAAGTAAAATTTTGACCAATTTAGATAATACTGCCTGTCCACCTCAGACAAATTTATGATTCCTGTTGTCACAGCTAAATAATGTGCAGTCAATCATTCTAATTACTAATAACAAGCACGAGGTGGGGTAGTGAAGTGGATGAATGCAACATCCTCACCATGGCCACTCATCACCTCCCTAATTTACTTTCCTAATGGTCATGCCTTTGATCTGCATGCCTTTCCGGGAACAAAACAAAAACAAAACAAAAAAAATTCTTGTATCAAAGTTATATGAAATCACATTACCTAAAGGATGGATAATAAAATGTTAAGTTCTACTTGCAGAAGGATTAAATTTTTGGAAGTGACATAGTATTTTTTAAAGTTATTTTATTGGCTCTGTCTGAGAAAGTTAATTGTATTTCTACTTTCATTAAAGAGTGATTTCAATCCACCATCACTGGCAGTGTGATGCCAACAAGACAAAGGCAATCAGATTGAGGAAATTATTATGTTGCGATCAGTTTCAATTTGTATAACATTGACTGCAGTGAAAAGCAAAGGAATATAGGAAGAATGTTTGCCAGAGTTTGTTGGAATTACATTATTCCCTGAATCTATATTCTTTATGTATATGGAGTTTAACAGGGACTGCAAGAACAAACTTTAGAGAAAGAATCATGCAATTGCTTTTCATATTAAATAATCCCTTTTTAGCGTGTTGTAACATAAACAAAAACGTCGTTTTCACAGTTACCTAGTTCAGACTTTGGGGTAGCTCCAAAAGGACTGTATGTGGTCCAGTAATGTGGTCATGGTACAGAAAAAACTGCTAATTTGGAGGTCTGTTTATGTATCGCATTTGCTTTGCTAATCACTCTGGATCATCTAACATTGCCCTGTTCAATTCTTTAATCTGATTTGTTGGATTAGTTTTGTATTTGATCATAGTACATTCATTTAGAAAGGATACTTGAGTTATAAATTATTTTTTACATTGCTGGAGTGACATTGTACAATAGCACTACATGGTAGTTCATTATAAATATATCAATTCTATTCTTGATCTCTTGTCTGGAATTAAACATCAACCATGTTCAAAAGTAATTATTTTTTTTATTTCAACTCTATAAAGTATACAACAGGCACTCGGCAATTACAGCTGCAGGAAAAATACATAGCAAATCAAAGCAGGTTAAGTTTATGAAAAAGTTTTAATCTACATCAAAAGAGTGCAAGTGGTCAATGACCATTTGATGACAGTTGTTGCATTCTGACTAACAAAGGACTCTTTCATGTAGAACAAATTGTAAGAGGACGATCAACCATAGCTGTAAGAATACAAAAGAACTGACCAGTTGTAAAAACATCGTACATTGAAATAAACTTGGTAGATGATGCTTAAAGAAATGTCCCTTTACTCAGAAAGCCCAAACCTCTGAGTCAATGTCAAGGTCCCAGAGCTCTGTCTATTGATACAGGGGCAGATAGAGAAGAGGGCTAACAACACTTTCTATGTTTAGCTTTCTTGGTCTGTTGAAAACTTGCCTCATAAATGATTTGCATATACAAGAACTGAGAGAAAGCATCCTGTTTTGTTGAGTGGTGCACCAAGGTACATTTCATCATTGGTTTCATAACAAGGTGTGATTAGCAGTCATTTTCTATTTTTCTCTTGAATTGGACAGTTGTTAATGGAGTCTATAAAATATGTTAGAACATGACTGCACTAATTTTTTTAACTGAATCTGCACAGCTTAGCAAAACAGGAATACCTGTATACAGACTGATAGTATGTCATATATTAATTTGACCTGCACATACATTTATACATTTCACAGAAATGACGCTGTATCTCATTAACAGATACACAGCTCTGGTAACATTTAACAGAAATAAGAGAACAACTTCATCATTTCTGTAATTCATCAATATTATATAATAAAGGCTTATAAATTGTTAGCAGAAAGAACTGTAAAACGCAGCAAGCTAAGAAAGGACAACATTTTGAGGTGTGTTTGTCTTTGTCATGCAGCATAACACCAAATTTGTTTTTTAATAGGATGCCATGAATTTAAGGCACTTGCAACAATGCCAGATAGCCAGGTCATGTTCTAGACTATGGGACAGATGAGTAACAGTACAGGTGACATAATTTTCAATAATACTGACAATTATGACATTAATTCAAGTCTACTTGGACCTAGAAACATTATTCAGTACAAATAAAATGAAATAATAATGCTGTGAAACACTAATAAAAGTTATATGTACCACAAAATCTCACACAAAAATATCTATTTACATAAATATTTGTCTGTGGTCCTATTGTGAAAGAAAACATTGTTATGGATAATGCACAAATCACCTCTGCTATATGAAATCAATTCTAATATCCTTTCTTTCAGTATGGTAGCTGACTTCTTTAAGTTCACCATCCATTCAGACATTTAGAAATAAAACAAATATTCAATAGTTGAGTTTATATATGATTATACATGTGTGACTCACATGCATATTCCATAGTGATAAGTAAAAATTATGACTTATAAAGAATATAATAAAAATAAGTTTATTTAAATGCCACATTGATCTGATTCATATATTAATAAAGAAGGTAAAGCATAAAAATCATTTATAGCAATTTTCCAGAAATCATTTTTCTTAATGTATTCAGTTTATCTCAAATATCATGATGCGCCTTCCCTTGGCAGTTTTCAGTGTTTTCCCATGAGTCAAGACACACAGAAAGCCCTTATTTTCTATACTCAAAAGTATTAACAAGAGTCAGTTAACATCAAACAAGTTGGCACTATTCTAACTCATCCAGACATTATTTAGTGAAAAAAATTAGAAGGGGCATGAAAAATTCAGAAATAAAGTGAAGTATGCTTTATGAATTTTAGCCCTAGTGTCTTAAATAAGACAAGATTTAAATCCTTAAAATTCAGTGCTGAAAGTTAGATGAAAGTTTTTATTAGTAATTTTTGGAACATGTAGTACATCTTTATTTTTTGGTGATTGCTTTAGACATCCTAATGCAGTGCCACAGGTGAAATGAACAAAGATGCAGTAACACGTAGGAGAAATGATCTACAATTACATTAAGCTGAATGCTGCTTTTTCACTTCCCACAAAACTTGTACATTTTGGTTGTCTTAGACTTGAACCATAGTTACAAAATCGATAGTGAGTGCTAATCTCTAGAGCTACTGGGATATTCGAAAAATTGCAAGAGCAGATTTTCTTACGAATGAATAGGTAAATTTAATATTCTAGCTAACCGTTAGTATGCCTAAACCACTCTATTGTTTAACAAAAATCACTAGTATGGACTATAATGTTGAAATTATATAATTTAAAGGTTGAATTAAAAGCAAAATAAAACTTCTGAAATATCATTCATAGCTGGATTTTTGGTTGATATATTTAATTTCATATTCCAAATTCTGCATAAGAAAAAGGATTCTTAGGGAATAGACTGAGAAATTATAAGGGAGGGAAACTTCAGTAACACAATAAAACAGTATCATCTTAGGATCAAAGTTTTCATTTAATTTTACTCAACATATAATATACCGTTAGGACTTTCATCCTCCAGATGTATCTTTGTTATATTTTGATACATATTCTAAAGGAGTCTTAATATGAAAAATTCAAATGAAAAACACAATATAGTCTTCTGGGACAGCAGATAATGATCAGGTGGAATTTTTTTTTTCCAGAAATGTCTACATTTGATTAACTTTAAACACTCTCTACTGAAAAAAAAAAAGTAAACCTCTATTAAATATAATAAATTCACATACAGTTCCAAATCAAGATGGCAGCTCCTAAGGTGAGGCATCTGTCTAGGTAGATGTAATGCTGTTTATCCAGGAAAATTTTTCAAATAACTGCTACTTAGGACAGTTAATAGTAGTCAACTGGCTCCCCAACAGAGGACAGTTAAATTGTTGATTCTTTCCCCCCAGGTGAAAAGCAAATCAATTTGACATTTTCAAATCCATCTTTCTTAGGGAATAATGATATTTTAGAATAGTGAGATTTCTGTTATGTTAGGTAAAATTTATTTTTCAGAAACCGGAGCCCTGTTTTCTTCTCTACACTCTATCTCTATCATATACACAAGAACTCATATGTTTCACTGACAAAAAGGTAATCAGCACCTAGCCTGGGTCCTGTTTTATTTCCTGCCTGTCACAATGTAAGCTTCCTCATTTGAATATTAACAACTTTGTGCTTTCTCTTTTCTGGTTCAGGCCTAAGACAAGAAGCTAGTTCAAATGAGTTTTTAATCATCTTCCTTCCTCAATCCTAGATATGATGTATAAGTGAAATTTGACAGGAGTTTGGTTTAATAAATTTAGTGAAAATGCTTGAGTCTCTGGCTACACATATAATGATTAGAATTTGTGTTGTCTGTTCAGACACTGACATTTACAGATGAAAGATATACATAGCACCTATATAGTTTTTTTTATTTTTTATTTTTTGGATGGAACTTAATCCCTCTCCACCCCACCCCACCTGAAGGGCTTATTTTTATAAAAGGGAATATGTTAAGCCTCAGTTTGAGGATGTATTAGGTAATAAGTAAAACCAATTGGCTGCTAGTCATTTATTTCCAGGACCATCTTTAAGCACAATATTTTCTTAAAATATGAAATGGTTTGTGAATTGCTTTTTTCCACTCTGTCATGCCAATTTAAAAAGAAACAAATATCATGCATGTTGGTACTCTCAATCCTCTGCAAAAATGCTTATATGCCTGCTATGAGAGTTCTCAGCAGAATCCATAGCAGTTGTGCTTTTGTCATATCAATTTGTAAAATCTGTCAGAAAGGAAAGATAACATTCAGTCTTGTCATCAGCACTGCTGGGAAATAAAATCATGACTCTTCTAGCACTGGTTTGACATGAACTCTGTGACCAACAGATGTGTGGTCCTCTTTTTTAGGGTATATACACCAGCTTGCAGTAATAGATCGTACAACCCTCACTTGAAGAAAGGGAAGAGCCCAGTTTTTGTACCATAGGAATCTGTAGTACCCAATATATTATGTTTTATATCTTCTCGATAACCTAGCAAGGTACAGACTCTTTTACTAGATTGAAGTGTTTCTTACAGTCTTTCAAATTATAATAAGAGCAAAGCAAGATCATTGCAACAATAGAAAGCATCTCTTTACTGGTGAAAGACTTTGCTTCAGGACCACCATGTCAACTGCTATTTTTAGGTTCAAACAGAAAACATGTAAAGAGCACTATTGTCATCAAAGCAATAAGTCCTAATGCCACTGTAGTTACTGGAGCAGCATCGATCAAAGGCATCATGGTGACCCCGAGCACTAATCTTCTCTCTTTCCCTCAGGTTTGCTGGCAGCTGTGTCTCAGAAAAAGCTGTCTTCAGCAAGGCAGAAGCAGGTAAGAGAAATACATTAGAAGTCTATGTCCCATCCTGAGTTGTCATCAGGTGGTGGTTCGTCATTGTCCTCAGGGAAACTGTCAAAATTGCTTGTGTCTGTGGGTGATGCAACCTGAAAACACAAGAGAATGAACCATACAAGGTTTCTGAGTTTTTATTACAATACCAAGCTAGATTTTCAAAGTATTGTTTTTAAATTGAATAATGGTTTATAACATTATGTAGTTTTCAGGTGTCCAGGCTTTTCAACTATCTATTGGAATATACTGCATTATGTTTACCACCAGAATTCATTTCCATCCATCACAATATAGTTAATCTTTTATGTGTTTATCCACTTCTCTTCCCTCTCCCCTTCTGGTAACAACTATTTTGTTCTTTATGGTTTAAAATAGTTTGTTTTGTTTAGTACTTTAATTTGTTTTGTTTATTTATGACCATATAAGTAAGAGTATATGGTATTTATCCTTCTCAGTCTGACTTCAATTGGCTAAACATAATTGACTAAACATAATTCAATTGACTAAACATAATTCCCTACTGGCACATCCATAGTGTTACAAATGGCAGGATTTCATCTTTTTTTTTCTTTTTAAAGTTGAGTATTATCGCATTGTGTCTAAATACCACAATTTTTTATCCACTCATAAAAAGCATTCTTTATTATTCCTTATTCAATAACTATTTTTTGAATGTCTACTATGTAGAAGGTTTTCTACTTTGTATTAGAGATAGCAGCAGTAAACAAAAATAGGTATGGTTTTGTCTTCATGGAGTTTATTCCCTCTTAAGGAATAAACTCTGAACAAAACAAATAACAAATATATATTGTAATTAGAACCTTTGTGATATTTTTCACTGAGTGTATAAGAGAGATCATGGAAAACATCTTTGAAAAGTATATTTTAACTCCCAAATCAATGTGTTCAATAAAAGTGTATATGGCACATCCAAAAGTTCTAGTAAGATAAGTGACTGAAAAGAGACCGATGTTGCTGCTCTGAGAAGAGGTAAGTGAAATGAGAAATAGGAGAAACAGGCAGAAGTCAATTTATGTAATACCTTATAGACCATCTTAAGGCTTTTTCTGCTTATTTTATGTAAAATCAAAAACTATTTCTAAACTCAGAAAAACTCTTGCAAATTTACTGGTCATCAGTAAAAGCAGAAATACACTTTAGCTTCTCTCATAGTCTACAATATTTAGAACATATTTTATCTACCTATCTATCCAGCTTCCCCCTCAATATCACTATTACATAAAAGGATACCCATAATAAATCTAGGTTGGGATCATTTAGGTTTAATATTTATCCCTTCAAATTTCTTGTTCTACTCTTTTTCTATAAACAAAACTTCATGAATGCAATTAGCATTTGTAATGTGAGCCAAGGCAATGCCATCTTTGTTTTGTTTGTGAATAAACATTAATATTAGCATAGAAATAAACCTTAGAAGTAGGAAAAATGTTTCTGTATAAAAAGCACTCTTAGGCCCAGAAAAAGGACATATATAAATGAAAGGCTGAGACCACAAATCAATCTTCTCCCCCTTAATTATGATGCAGCACATTTTATTATGTAGATGCAGTACTGAATAAAAATATAAATTCAGGTTAACAGAAATATTTAGTGTACTTTGTGAACTATTTAACAAAAAACATAAAAGGAAAAGAATCTTTGTTTTCTTTAGGCTGAATGGATAAAAGTTGTACCTGGAATTTCTTCAAAGGAATCTGGGGATAAAGAAGGCATTTTTGAGGGGAGGGGGCTTAGATGAAACAATATTGGCCAGGAATTGATAACTGTTTAAACTGGTCACACAACTTTTGACCAAACCCAACTAGAAACCAGGAGCCAAGGGAGGCTTCTGTTGGTTGGTCTTGGGGAAAGAGCAAAGTGGAGAATAAACTGGCATCATAAATAGGAGATAATTGCACATTGTCCTAACATCCCGATAATACTTGTGTAGATACTAAATTGTTAAGAAGTTATTGTGTCTTGCACAGAGAGAACATGTATGTGTAGAAATTTAAAATATACTTTTTTCTGGTAATCATGTTTATGATTAATCCATTCAAGTTATTGTATTCTTTTTCTTGGAAATAAGTTTACATATTATGGGGCAAAGAAACTTTAATAGAGATTCATCATATTATTCCATCTGTACACATCTCTATAACATTTACCATACTAAAAGTCAACTTCTATGCACAAATGAACATGAAATAGAATAGTTTTAAAAAGTAACAGTAAAATACATTTATAATACCCATTCTGTAATGTATTTGTTTTTAAGCTTGGATTTTAGAAGAAGTTTTTTTTTTTTTTTTAAATGCAAAACTTCTCCTGTGGTGTATTTAATCTGATCATAGAATAAAACTTAAAAAAAAAAAACACAGAGCTTTGATAACTGACATAAATACTTTAATATGTGTCACAAAATTATAAGCAAGAATGTCTACTTACACTTGGTATTATAGGAGGTGTCAAGGTGCCTTTTCTTAAGCCTTCCCAATTAAAGCCCTCAAACCATCTAGGAAAGGAAAAAATGTAGGTAGTTAAAGGTATTTAACCTCAGCTAAAACCTTCTCATTGCAACATGTATGATATCCCTCATTAATGGAAAGCAGTTAGGCAAGTATTTTCAGTATGACAAAATGTTTTCTATTTAATTGCAGATTTTCTTCCAGCAAATCTATTTTATAGACTGCACATTTAAAGACAATCTAATGGTCAAAATTTTAAACACCAATTAGAAGGCAACTTCTTTTGATTCTTTTGATATAATTTTAGTCATTATATCTATGTGACCTTGTTCTGACACTATCATTATAATTTAATAATTGTCATAATATTCCTGGCCCTTGCCTTAAGGGATATTTTATTTTAAGGAGCTAGAATCAGGGCATGAAAAGTTAGGACAGAAAATTGACTTTCCATCTATGGCACTGATTCAGTGGGCAGCCTCAATTAACCTCATTGTATTGGTCTTTATGTATCACATTTTCTTCCTTCCTTTTTTTTTTAATAGAATGAAGGTATTTTGTGTTAGCTTTTCTGTGGAAATAAGGAGCACCAACGCTTGTTTTTTTAAAAATTTTGGGGGGGTTTATTTTTGAAAGATTTCACTATCAGTAGATGCATACCAAAAATTTAGCATGCCTTTTAGATTTGTTGGTGTTCAAGTAAAGAAGTTCTTCTGGTACAGGTGTGAATTTCCTGTGAGTGTTATAGAAACCGACTAATATTTAAGCTTTAGGATATCCATTCAACATTGGTAAGGATGAAATTAAAATTCAGCTATTGTTTTTATTAGCTGCCTTCCCTCTTTCCTCCCCGCTTCGTATCATCTACCTGGGACATGATTAGAAAAATGTATTTGGTTTTAATCTAGGAAATGAGGCATTTTATAGTGAAGGACTTTTGTTTTTAATATACCAGTAGAGAACAGAATCACAGAATTAAAGATACACATATCCTTTTTGTGACAGAGGGAGAAAATGGTAGTGTGAGTTGGGAGAAATTGAATTCAGTGAGTCTGTTGTTTAAAATGTCCCTAGATGAGACATACAGAAATAAAGCCTGGAGACTAAACCTTAAAGACCTTTAATAAAAAGGCTCATTAATCTTCTCCCCTTGGATGTTCCTATAGGAAAATTGTATCAATTATACAACTACTAACTTAAAAGCAACACCCTAGGCAAATGCTTGTCATATTTTCTGCACTCTAAAACATAAAGTTTTAAGGAAAGAATACTTACTTGTGCTTTTGAATGTCTTTTACTCCATTTTTCAAATTTCCTAATCTTTCTGATGGATTGTCCCTGTTAAAAAAAAAAAAATTCATAAGGGATCTAAAATCTTTTCCCTTACACAATCCATTCAAAAGTTATGTAGTTAAAATACTTACCTGCATAGTTTTTTAATTAAATTAGCAGCATTTTTGGCAATCTTCTTTGGAAATTCTATCATGTCAATTCCCCTCAATATGATATTATAGGTTTTCATAGGATCTGGGCCTGAGAACGGTGGGCTGTAAAAATTAAAAGTGATGATACTTTTATTTCCTAAATGAGAAGACTTAAATTGTTATAACTATAAATTATATTCTTATTTTTAAGCTTCTACTAATAGTGATTTTTTTCCTCAATTATGTTTATTAAGGTAAAATCAGTTTACATACTGTATTTGTCTTAGGGTTTATAAGTTCAAACCTCTATGAATATATGTTTGCACATCACACCCACCACCCCAGCATGCTCCACTGGACTCCCAGACTTCCACCTCACACACTTCCCTTGTGGTTGTTTCAATTTTGCAGGCAGATGCCAAGGGTTTGTACTAATTTGGTTTTGTCTGACCCTTTTTGTGTTGCTATATTCCATATGTAAGTGAAACCATACAGAATTTGTCTTTTTCCTGATAATCTTAGTGAAATCTGATTAATGGAAAACAGTGTGGAAAGCTTTCCAAGTAAATCACTTAGCAAAGCCATAAATATGTCAATTGTCTGCTAGTCCCCTCTTTTCTTTTCCTTTTGCATGTACCTAACACCTTCTGCTGTCCTTGGGAATCAAGGTTACTTCTTCCACTTTCTGTTCCACTTATCAGTTCATTGATTTCACTTGGGATGAAGTGTGAACTCATTGAAATGGGCTAAAAGAACATCAATGATAGAACCACATCTCATGCCACCATCACCCTCACTCACTAGGATTAGGTACTTCCTCTGAAACGCCAAATATTTCTCCAGTTCTTAAATACTTGTTCATTTTGCTTGGAAGTTTCATTACAGGCATTTGGCTAATATCTCATTTATTAACTCTTAGCCTAGATGTTATGTTCCTTCCTCAAAAAAGACAATATATTTTGTATATACATACCCTAGTATATATATCCATCCTAAAATTTCCCATTTATAACTGTGGGGTGTATATAGGGCTCAGCCCTAAGTTTACTCTGCTGTTTAACAAGTACTTACAAAAATAGCTAAAATAGAAAATTGCTGATCAGTTGAACTACAAGAACATGGTAGGAGAGAAAAATCTCTTCCTTTGTATAGAGAATACAAGATGAACGTTGCAAAAGAGACCAAAACCCATATGTTTAGTAAATTTTTAAGGAGCAAAACTCACCATTTTTTAACTTTCTTTTGAGTTTAAATGTTGTGTGGGAAGTTTTTTCTTTAACTTGGATCAGTTATAGATTGTTACAGGCATCCTATGATTTAGCATTCCCATTTACTAAAGGTTTTTGGGAAGCATTCCAGCTCTCCTCCTTGTAGGTAGATAAGCCTTTCCTATCATCCTTATTCTAACTCCCTAAAGCTTTAGATATTAAAGTCCTCACTTAATTTCCGTACACACACATCCCTAGTTTGGAATTTCAAAATCCAACTGGATTTTGTTGATTTTATTCCTCTCAAAACTGCTTGAAGAGTTTTCACAATCCTTGGACACCTAGTTGTCAGTGCAATTTCCTAACATTGTTCATACATTTAAAAAAAGCAAAAATATTGCTCTTCATATTGGTAATGTAAGTTAAAGACTTCAACATTAGTGGGTTTTTTGCTTCCTTATTTTTCCTTGAAATTTTGAAAGTCATTCAACTTACAGTAGAAGCAGATTTCTTTTGACTTTTTTTAAAAATCAGAAATGTTTTAATGCTTTTTTTTGGCAACAGTATATTTGGAGCCCGAGGAAGAATATCTAGGTCCCACCTTTCAAGTGAGGAGGCTTTTGGCTCTTGTGTCTGCTATTTTCCTGAGTTCTCAAAGACCTGTGACAGCTGCTAAATAAATTGCCAGCATTGTGGATGAGCAGTAGCTGCAATGTTGGAAAAATGACAAGCAATACCAAAAAAATAAAAGATCCCTTTACTTCCAGAAAATCTCTTGAGTAAGAGGAAGGCTTATCAGGTCCTCACTTCATACATGGTAGTTCACCAGGCAAAACAGGCACTTTTGGATAAGAATTTGCAGAAGAAAGGAAAATAGCTCAGTTTTAAACAACTAGAATGGTTCCTACATAGCTCCTGGCAGCAACAACATGCCCACATGTACCTCAAATGACTAGATGTGAAACTTCAGGGTTTTAAAATGCCTGATAAACACTGCTTGACCATTGGTGTATGCATACAAGGGATTATTGGGGTAAGTTTAATGGTGTAGAAGACTATTTTAAGACATCATTTGAAAAAGATTTCCAGGTATGTCCTTGTAAAAGTGGCCCCTCAAACCATAAAAACTCTTCATAGGATGGAACCTTATGTGATGTAGGGGTTTACAAATCTGAAAATGTCTGGGAACTCATCTTGAAAGGTGGACAAGTCAAGGTCAAGAATAAAACTGTCCCTTTCACACCCTATATACAATGATTGAGCACCTGGGGAAATTAGGTGTCATTTTCCTGTAAGACTTCATTCATGAAATTGCCTTCCTGGGGAAGCATTTTCAGATGATCTCGGGGTTCTTGCACCCTTTCCAGCTCTCACTGGCCCAGCATGCAACAAAGAATAGAGGGGGCTTCTCAAGGAAGTGGGCTCACCTGGCTATCAAGGTGAATGTATCAGTTTATCCAGCAGCTGAATTAAACCCAGAATATCTGAATACACAATGCATTAGAAACATGTGTTTTTGTTGTTTAGACTTGCTATCTGTATCTTTTTTAAAAAAGATTTATTTATTTATGCATACAAGAGCTGGGGTACAGGCCAGAGGTGTGGGGTGGGTAAGAGGATTCACTAGAGACAGAGTGGGTGACAGAATAGGCAGATTGACTGAAGTACACTGCTGAGGGGAGCAGCGGGAGAGTCAGGAGAGGTCTGCTGCGCCATGTGAGTAGCTCCCTGGCCATCAGGGGATTGAACTCGTGCTACAGAGGCTGCGGACAGTTTCATAGATTGTGTCTTAACCCCTTGCACCACCAGGGAGGCCCCTGTTTCTGTATCTTTGAGAGATTATTTTCTGCTTTGTATTCAGAAACTGGAGCTCCGTCAGGGAAAAGACAGTGATGTTCTTGCAGGTCCTTCTTACCACGGTTGAGTTCCAAAGAAAGGTTCTTGTGTGTTTTCCACATTGGCTTATATTAACTCTTCTGAGCAAAGGATTCATGCCCTGAAGGGAGTCCTGCCTGATCACATCTTATATCCTGTGGTTTAACTTTGGTGAATGAAAACCCAAGCATGTGCATAAAAAGCAGTGGACCCAAGTCCAAGGGCATGCTTAAACCTGGGGGTTCCTTGGTTCTTGCTTTGGAAAGAACTTAAAATGTAATCAGAAGACTACAAAAATACTAAAAATTCAAGTAAGTTTCCTGTTTCTCTCTAATTTTATCAACTTGCACACTGTTGTCTATCTGGTACTTAGAATGCTCTCCTGATTCTTTTTGAGCAGCCATTGCTTATATTTTCTTAGTCCCTCACTGGTTTCCCTCATCTGAGTTCTTCTGACAAAGAAATATAGTTAACTTGTTTTCCTTTGCTCTGTATCCGACCATCCAGATCTGTGTTCATATTCCTGGTGATCTCTGATGTATATGTAGACTAGATCACAACTAGACAGTTACTCTTAAGGAATTCGGAGGTAGAATTGGTCCTGTCAGGAGGAGACTTTTGGTGTCACCTCTCTGTTATCTTGAAAGCTAGTTCCTGCCCTGAGACTCTCAATTTTTTTGAAAATGTCATTCTGTTTTAGCCAAAAAATTGACAAGAGTATTAAAAAAATAATTGAGAAGGACTATTCAATAATTTGGCAAATAATTGTGAACAACACTGAAAAATTGTAACTTACAGTTCTGTAACAGTTAAATGTTTATGCTCTTTCCCCTTCATACATGGTAGTTCTATTTTACTCCAAAAGAATTTAACAAAAAGTCTGCTCTGACACCTAATGTACCTGCTCGCATAACCTATTCAAACATAATGTAATAATGTAATCTATTACATGCATTTAAACATTTATCTTGCTATAATACACCTTACTAACACCCTTTTTGCCTATAATTACTTCCTTTTTTGTGATCATTTGTTTTATGTCTGCCTTCCCTTCCAGATTAGATTTTCTTCTCCAGTGACATTCCCAGAGTCTAGAGGAGTGCCAAGTGCCTGTTACTGGCCAGTAAATATTATTGAACTAGTGCTTCCACAGAGCAGTGCTCTTACAATCTCCCCATCCATCAGTCCTCAGTAGATGAAGACCATGGTCATCTTTCTTTCTTAGAAGGCTGTAACACACTAGTCCTCTTGATCAGAATTGTTGATTATTTACCTGTCCATCCTGAAATGTGGCTTTGTACTAGTCTCATAGAGTATAGGAATAAAAAATATAAGCTCCTTCCATGAATTTTATCACAATTCAGAGTGGAGAATATAATATATTTTAACAAGTGATTTATTTGGAAATTAATTATTCCACTTATTTTGGATTCATGAGTTTTGGGGGAGGAAATTTTATGGATCATTGTTTTTATCCACCATGTTTGTTAATAGCAGTTCAAATTACTTCCTTCTATCAATGAGTTGCTAAAAACAATGAGTTGCTAAAAAATAGGGAGAAGCAGATCTGTTGATGCTGAGGGCCATGATGGTATCAGTTTTGAGGTTTGTCCCTATTTTCTATGATAAATATATCCTGTATACTTTATAATTAATTATAAGTAGTTGTCAATTTTAACTTAGTCTTTTAAAATGAATAAGCATGCAATTCCTTTTAGTAGTCTCTTAGACTTTAACAACTTTCTCTTGGTGATTGAACATTCTCTTTACTCTCAAATTGATTTGCCAGTTTTGATTTTTGCTTTAAAAATGAAGAACAACATCTTAAATCTGTTATCAATTTAATGTCTTTCTAATAATTTTCCTTTTGTAATTATTTACTTATCTTAGAAAAACAAGTCATTTACTAAAGATGATGTTAGTGGTTTTCACAAATTTTGCATGTTGATTTCAAGATATTAATGCAATACATAATACAAAATTAGAAGAAAGTAAAAATCAACCACTATCCAAACTATTAATAAACATTTAATACATAAA